GTCAAAAAATGTCTGCAGCAGCTTTTGGTTACGATAATAAGTATTCGAGCATGGCTTCTTTACCATTGCATGGTTCATTCAATAGATCTCTAGGAATTCAAGTTCATTCAATGATCCACAAGCCTACTAGCAGTACCGCTTTCGGCGTGCCGGCCTTGTACGGACATCCTGGATGGTCAATTAGAAGGCCAATTGGCCGGCTTGCTCCAGAGAATAATTACCACGTGGCGGGTACAACATCGTCAGGTGGTGCTGCTGCTAGATTTGATAACATTATCCAAAAATTTCCTCAGGTTGATGGTATTTCACAGTACAGATGGGATAGTGGTGGTGGTCCTACTCATTCAAAGAGTACTAATAAACCTGACGAAATGAAGAAGCTTGACCTCTCTCTCAGACTCTAAATTATTAGTACTAGTACATTTTATTTTTTTCTTACCGTTATTTCGTTTAGATTTATATTTTCCTTTCAAGTTTCGCACTTATGAGGTCCACTATTGTAGATGTTCTTATGCCATCTGTGATGTGATTTCCGACATTTTAGTAATGACCATGCTCAAATCTTGCCTTCAATGACGGACAATCCAAATATATAACTATTCATTTAATAATTGAGTTCAAATTTTACAAGCTGGAAATGCATTTTTTCACTTCCAATAAAAGTCCACAAATGAATTGATGTTGACAAGTGGTAAGATAATTTAGTGCACAAAATATCCTGCGTTAACCAGCGGTAAATCTATTCAAAAAGTCCACAAATGAGAAAAAAGATCAGTACTAACTGTTTGGCTTTGGATGAGATTGATGTTTAATACGTGACAAATGCACATGCCGACAAAATATTGTACCGTTTGATGAATTAATAACAACCACTACTACAAATAATTTTGCTGATTCAACGGCTGAGATTTAGTGAGCAGTTGATGAAATAGACTATCTACTGAGGGGTCATGTTCATAAGGTTGGTGGGGGGTATGTGGAAAGTATATATAAGTTGTGTAAATGACCTTTGTCCGTTTTCATTACGAAAACTTTTTTTAATTAAGGTGATGTTAAAAACAATTTTAAGTTATTCAATCACATCATTATCTTTCATATATTTTAATGCTGTAAAATCTTGATTGCATTGATTTCTTACCTAAGAAATCTTTTAAACAGGGTCACTCTATAATATGGTGGGACCAAATTTTGGCTTTATGATGGATTTTAAACTTAATAATGTCATTTTCTCAAAGTAATCCAACTCTAAGCAACAAACATGACGTGTACGCTGAAGAGAGACATTATTTGATACAAACAAACACAGTAACGAAGTGTTAAGTATTCATTCATTTTTAATATCAGAAAGACGAAAAAGAAGGAAGAGAGACATTTGGCGCGTGCAAGAGAGAAAGGCAAGGAAATTAAAAGGTGTAGGGTTGGTGGTATTATTGATTCTCCCTCTGTCCCTAACTACTTGTCCACTTTTCCTTTTATAGTTGTCCCTAATTACTTGTTCATTTTGACAAATTAAGAAAAAACAATTTTTTTTACCTATTATATCCTCAATTAAATGATAATTATTTTTAAAAATGTAGAACTTTTCATCCACTTCATAATAATAGGGCCGTAAAATGGTAAACTCATTATGTCATTAATTATTTTTTTAATAGGTATACCAATTCAAAAATAGACAAGTAATTAGGGATAGAAGGAGTATTACACAGTGAAGAAAATATGTTTCTCTGGTGTTTTTATGGCACAAAACACGACAAATAGTTGAGAAACTTAGAAATGGACAATGTGGGGACAAAATATATGTATTTTCGTTGCTTGATTGATGGTTACTTTCGTTCTTTCATTTTTCCTCAGCTAATGAAAGCAATATGTACAGCTTGGCACTTGGCAGCTTATCAACCACCTTTATTAAACTCTTTTCATCCAAAACATGAACATAGGTGCAAATTTAGCTCGTAAAAATATAATTCGCTGCATTCCTTTAAACTTAGTGGGTTAAAAACATTTTTCTATTAATTTAATCCAAATTCAATTGGTTAAAAGTTTGGATTGATTTAATTTGAGCGCCTAAATTGAACAAATAATCCAGTTTAGGGATTAAATAAATTACTCTCTCCATTTTAATTTAGTTGTTACCATTTTAGATTTCACGCTCCTTAAAAAATTAGGTAAGTTTACCATTGTATCCTTATTTTGTGTTCTTTTGATGTCAAGTTTTCAATAAATGAACATAAATTAATTTACTTTGATCAATGAATATAGATTACTTACTTAGTTTTTCTATGTTGGTCAAATATATACTTTCAAAGGATAAAATAAGAAGAATAGTGTCATTTATGCATTGATTTTGTGAAATGACTAATACTCCCTCTGTACCTAATTACTTGTCCACTTTTGAATTGACACATCAATTAAGAAAACAATTAATGACATAGTGAGTTTACCATTTTACCTCTATTAATTATGAAGTAGATGAAAAGTTCTACATTTTTCAAAGTAATTAATCATTTAATTGAGGGTATAATAGGTAAAAAAAATTGTCCTTTCTTGATTTGTCAAAATGGACAAGTAATTAGGGACAACTAAAAAAGGAAAAATGGACAAGTAATTAGAGACAGAGGAATATTAAAGAAAATCTATTTTTAATAAGAACGACATATAAATAGGAATGAAGGGAATTGTAAAAGAGAACTAACAAATGAAATAAATTTGGTAAGTGTTTGAGTAGATGGAATTATAATCTATTGTTTAGCTCATTTTATATAATCCGGTCAACCATATTAACTTTTGAACAAAACTGATTAATTGATTCATTCTATTTTTAACTCGCTCAAATTCAACTCAGATGACCTATTTGCCACCTCTAAGCATGAGCAAAGAGCCATTTTTTTTATATTCCAGTTGTCAAATGAACAAACCGACTCTCCCCATCCCAACTGGAGCTTATGAAAATTAAGAGACTCGTGTAATCTGATTTAGATTTGGACCAATGACTTTTCAGCCAAAATAATGGACCTACATTGTCCTCTATTAGAATTCATTTTCTAAAAAAAACTATGCATCTTTCCCATTTTGTATATATCCAACCTTGATATTTTAGTCTAAGAAACTGCATTTATTAAACCCTAAATAGAGCAACACAAATCGTACTAATTCATATAATCGATCTCAACTTATCTATGTTTTGTTGAAGTAGTAACAAGCAAACTGCAACTCTACTTCCTGTTTGTGGTAGGCTTAAAAAAAACTATTGATGAAATAGGAGAAACGCACTTTACTTTTCCATGTACCTTTCATGGAGAAACTGCTAGGTTTAAATAATCAATAAGTTGGTTGTATACACAACACAAACCAGACAATTTGGTATATATGACCCATAATATAATGCTTTACTAATTGAATAAAAAGCAACTCCCAAACATGAAGATAACGTTTAGACAATGAAAGCAACAACGTTGGACAACTCAATTCCACCACTAATATAACACAACAAAAAGTTATTCCATCATATTCAACACTCACAATTCATCATAATGCAATAGAAGTTTCCCCTTTTTCACGGGTTTGACCATTTTAAACCATGAAATTCAACATATACAGCAAAGGTGTAGGAAATTGATGTGGGTAGGAATTAGCATACTTTCAGGAAAATAGTAGATGTCGACGACCAAATTCCATCTCAACCATTGCTGGATATAGATTAGATCATCAAGAAATTCATATCAGGTGTTGAATCAATGAGTAGGGCCTAATCATAGTGAGTGGGACGCCGCTAAACAGTGAGAACTATCTGAAGTAGTACAATCACAACCTAACCTTTAAACAAAATTGGACATTTCCTGTATATAGCGCTTTTAAGTAGGGGTGTCAAACATGGCTGCCCGTCCAACCCACCCAAAATCTTATGAGTTCGGCACAAGATAATTTCATATTGGGTTGATTTTGCCTCAACCCAACATAACTCATTTTTGGGTTTACTGCTACAGATTTACTTTGATTTTTTCTATGGATTGGGAGTCAGGTTACAGGTCAAGGTCAGGTCGGGTCTTAGGCTGGGATTAGGTATCGAGGAACAGGTCTTGGAAGAAGGTAGGGTCTTGAGTTTCAAGTTTCATGGCTCGAGTCTTGGGTACAGAGTCAGGGTTGTGTCTCAGATTGGGTCTCTATTAGACTCAAGTCTTATGTCCCAAGTCAGATATGAAGTCCCGAGACTCGATGGATGGTAGAGGAGGGTGAGAATGAGCAAGGGGCAGGGCTGGGATAGGGTAGGGGGAAGTGGACAATTCAAAAAAGTTAGGCCAAGTTGGGTGTGTCATGAGTCATGACCCAATCTATTTCAGGCCAAGTAACTTTTGGCTAGTTTTAGCATAACCCATTTTAACATGCTCAAATCCAATCCAACCCATCTATCTGACACCCTAGCCATAGGTACATTTCTTAAATTCTCTAGGAATTACATTAACTAGGTTACAAATGAAAGAGGGACTCACATGTAGTAATAGAGCACAATAGTGTTTGTTTTCAATAAGAAAACTAAAAAAGAGAGAGTTGACATAGACAGAGAAATAGTTACTAATACCTACTACATTGTCTTACAAATAGGCATACAAGCATGAGTGCAAGAGTCCACTTAAACAAGCATCCAAGGTCAGATGCAGACAAGTGTAATATAACATACCTAATCTTCTCAATCATGGAAAAGACAGTCTATCTGACTAGATAAATATCAGCAAAAATTATGATAGTATATCTTAATGCAACTTTAGTTAATGCTGATATCTACCACCGATAAAAGTTAAAAGTATCTTTGGTTATACTAAGTTACTAATAGACAGTAAAGTCGGAAGACAGCTGGAAGGAAGCACTTATGCTGCATCACGAAATATTTGATTGAATATGTTGAGTAACTGTGGCATAAAATGTGAAACAGTCTACACCAGGACATTTGGCATAGCAGCAAAATGGTTTTAAAAAACAAAAGGGACGCAAAGAAAATAAGATAGTATAGCCAAATATAATTTGCCTTTTCCAGGATAGTTGAGTTTTTGAAACAGTAAAAGACAATGCCCATATGAGGGACATGGTTACAATGAAAACGTCTTAAGTTGAAAGCGGAAGCTTGCTCAAAATTGAACTGACTAAATTGCTACTGAAGTAGACCACAAATACATAATATAATAGTTTGCTCCTAAACATTATGACCATTACTGGAAGCTCTCTATGCACCAGCAAAATCAGTGTTTCACATAGCAATCTAAAAAGTTCAAGTACAAGTATGTGGCAGAGAGGTCAAGGAAAGGAGAAACCTATTACGCCAAATGCATTGTCTTCATAGCAAAGCCAGGTGTAAACTTCGCTAAGATGCAGTGTAAACTTTGTGATTGAAGTATGTGAGATGATTTTGAACTTCATGCAATACATCAACTAGTTAGTAAATGTTATTGCCTGTCTTCTCGGTAAGGCTGATTTGTCTCTGATGTAGTAGGAAACCTTGAAAAGACATATATTAGTATGGCAAGACTTCCAATTGAGCTAAAAAGTGTTTCTTTCACATTCTAAACCTGCAAGTATAACTTTTCACAAGTAATGACATCCAGAGAATGGTCCGCAAGCAAGTCAGCAAAACAACATTCGCGGGAGAAATGCAACCACTTATCTCTATTTCTTCTCTATGAACGATTTGGCCTTTTCCATCCAGCGAACAAATTCAAGTTTATCTTTGTTCTTCATGTATTGATGTAAGAATGCACAAAGTTCATCGCTTATTCCCCTTGTCTCTAGGAAATCATAAAGAGAATTCTGCAGTTCATCATCCAATTCCCTGCAAATCAGGGTAATACAAGAGTTGAGGAAATTTTGGAATGTTCAATTTCACACATTTCCCCATCCTGAAGTTCTTAACCACATAAGCAAACTCAGAAGAAATTTTGGAATGTTCAGTTTCACAAAATTTCCCAATCCTGAAGTTCTTAACAACCTTATAAGCAAACTCAGCATGTAAGCAAGCAAGATGGAGATTGGTGAATTAGACCAGAGATACATACTTAAATGGAGGGCCTACATAAGGCTGATCCACTATGCCATTCTGCCGACGCATGTAAACTTTACGAATCTCAACGCTGTTTGGCCATGCAGAACAAACAAACTCTAGCACTTCATTGCCTTCTCCTTTGAGAACATTGACAATCATAGTTATGTGAAGTTGCACATCATCTGCTGCAGATACATCACTACCTTTTTGAACAGGAATAGATGCATCAAACATAGTAACTTCAACTTTAATTTCTTCATTCTCTCCAAATTTCTTGTTTAATTTAATCCATTGCTCTCCAGCCCTTTCATCAATGATAAATGAATCAAATTTTGTGATAGGCTGCAATTCAGTAATTGCAAAAATAGCATTAGAGACATTGCTGATTCACACTATTCAATGTCCGAAAACATAAGCAACAGCTAGCCAAATAACAAATAACATAGTTCAAGAGTTTCCTTCTGCAACACGAATAACTTGGAATAGGTATACCATGAGTTGCGTCCATACATCAGAGCATATAGATGAAGCAGATACAAGATAATTACTTGTTAAAGTCAGTCCACATTAAAAATTTCTATTTTAGCATTTTCAAAGTTAACTACCTCAAAGCATTTTCTGTAACGTCTGTAGAATTGTAGATTCTATTACAAAACAGGGTGGGGTAGCTGCATGAGCGAAATTCAGACCTGATCTTTTAATGCACGGATTGTGTAATACATATTTCGTTGGGCAATTGTGTTAATTGATACACAGATGTCTCATGTTTACAGCAACCCCATATATTTTATATGTCCCAAATGCTTCAGATCATACGATGACATTACTTTTTTTGATAAAGTCATATGTTGACATTAGTTTGCTATCTAACATATCTGATGCAAAGCTAAAGTTCAAGAATCTTCATTTATGAGTCAGAATAAATGAACATTCTCACTTTGGTTCAGAGAATCAGCCGAGCATGTCAATGGTGTGGAACAAACAACTGGTTGACATATAGTTGGTGACAAAGTTCATTAATACAGTTCACTCTTCTGTTGAAGTCACCCACCTCCTCCTAGTTTTCTCACAACAAGCTGCACAACAAAAAGAACATTCCTACTCTAAGAAAGAATGAAAATCTATCAGGCCTTCCTAAATACCAGTCATACCTTCAGAAAATGGTAAATATCATCAAACTTCAGCCTAATCCCTACATCTTCCTGACCACTCCCAGAAGCAAAAAGAGAACACGGGGATTGACAAGGTTCATCTTTTTCTCATGGTGAAGAGGCTATAATATGGAACACCTAATTCTAATCAGTAAACACTAATCAATTAATAAGATTCAATTGCCTGCTCAAACATTGGCAAATTACATGAAGTAACTAAAAGGAACTAATAAGCTAGGCCACCATCGTAAATTAGCTATTGTAAAATTGAATTGGCTACTCAAACATTAGCAAATGAGACTATCTGAAATAAACGGAAGGAACTAATAGTGTTTTCTCGAAATAATTCAAATCCCTCTTTAGTCCAAGCAATTGCTTCATACTCCAAAACATGGAAGAAACAATAATTTAACAAGGAATGAGAAATTGCGTACCTGAGAGGGAGGAGAATGTTCAAGCTCGTAGCGAATCTCGTAACGGAGGAGTCTGAGAATGTTCTCTTCAAATGCTTCTCTACGCATCTCCGATATGTAATTTCTAGTAAAATTGAAGATGACTGGCTGGGGTTGCTGCTGAAGCAAAACCCTTTTGGCTATTCCTCTTAAAGGTCTAACTAATCGACGAGCCATTGCCATGGATGAATACCAAATTCCCAGAGGAAAGCGAAGGGCTTAAGGAGGGTTTAACAATCTTTAGTCTTCAACCATTTTTCCTTTTTATTTCAGTTGCTCTATTGGGCTGTACCTGGAAATGTTTCATGGCCCAATGGGTCATGTTCCTTTTATATACCCAAGTAAATAATTCTTCATCTTTAATTAGAGGTCTCATGTTAGAGCATTCAATCTAATGTTAATGGAACCCAAAAAACAAACAAATACATGCTTTTGAGGTCGCCGTAAGGTCAGACATTTTTTACTGAGAAGCATGCAAAATTTTGTTTAAAAGGATTGCAACGAATACTGATTTTATGAGGAATTATCTAAAATATATATAAACAATGTCTCAGCGTTAACAAGCTGGTGCTTGTATTTGGCTAGCAAAATTGCTCAGGAGCATTTTGATTTGGCTAAGCATTTATCAACAATAGAATGCTATTGTCAAATGTATTCTCCAAAATTAACTTTTCCGCTTAGAAAACCTGCAACATGGCAGCAAGCAATCCTTACAAATGCTACATCTCCCAATTATCTTCTAATACACATTGATTTGAAAAATAATAAAATGAAGCAGTGACTTTTCCCTATTTTGCAAAATTATGCATTTCAGACTCTTCAAAAGACTTGACTGCGCGAAATAATATATGCTACTGATATCATTGGTTCACGTCAGGGGAGGAACCATCACTTTTTATCTGCTTTTGATCAGGCAAGACTGATTTTGCTCGAGTTTCCCCTTCACTAGAGGGATTTGTCTTTTCCTGAGTGTCATGAGTCCCTGGCTTGGTTGTTGCAGGTTCTTTGACAGCATTGTCAATTGGTTTGTCTGCAACATCACCTGATTGTTTCTTGGACTCGACTACAATTTCTTTTAAGGTCTCCTCTAACTTATCTAGTCTTGCTTTCACCTCGGAAAGTTGTGGATTAGTCCCTTGTTGTTTTTCCTCCTCAGCCATCAATTCCAATTCTTTTGCTTTTGCCTCTTCATCAGCTTTCTTTTTCACTTCAGCTTCCTGGTACAAATTTTTTGAACAAGATAATCAATGAAGACTAGTACTAGCAAAAGCAACCAAGTGTAAAGAATGACAAGCTCCGATATGTAAAGTCAGACACATTGGGATGTTGTAGGAGAACTCTCTGTACTTACCTTGATCACCAAATAAGACATGTAATAAGGGGAAAAGATAACCAATGAATACAATATAATTAACAGTCCGTAGACATAGCACAAGAGACCAGATTTATTGAACTACTATACATATTCAAACTATAAAATCCAAAAGAAATCCAGCTGATGTTTTACCCCCTACACTAGAAACAAGTCTTATGGAACAATTCCATTCCACCTCTCAAAAGTAATTTCAATTTCCACTAACCTAACTGCAATATCACTCAGACAATTAGCTGAACTGAGTTATTTTTTTAGAGATTTATTTACATCTTTCCTCTTTTGCAAAAGTTAAAACCGATTTAGCTTACAAAGAAACAATATTCACTTCTTTTTTTGAGTTTCTGCATTCTCAATCCTAGGTATCAATGAGAATTTATGTTTTTCACTTGCTTACTACAACTCCCATCAACAGCCTTGTGTTTTTATAAACACGACTCAACCATACAATTTGCAAGAAAGTTGTGTGATTACTGCTAATAAGCACTACTACTTCACACTTCTTTTCGAATCAAAAGACTCCACTAGATAAATGCCAAAATGATTTTAAACATTTCCAAAATGACTGTAAACCGCTATATTCTCATTCCTCTTAACATTCTTACCCATTTACATAAAAGTAATATTTCCTTGCACCAAAAGTATATGTGACAGAAAAGTGATCTATTTGTACTCCTATCCTATGTCATGCTCGATGTTATAGAACATTCTCTTTTTTTAATAACAGTGGTGGCAGGGCAAGCTTCCGGGTACATCGACTTTTTCACTTAGTACTTGCCACCTCCCACCAGCAAAAGTACGAGGTAACTCTGTCTTACTAAGGTTAGGCAGGTGGGAAGACATAATACCTTTGGCTGCAAATATTACAGAAAATTCTTCTATTCCTCTATTTCAAATGGTCTACTATTCCTGATATCATAAACCACTCTGTGAGGCAAATATGCTTCAATATCATTGAATGAAATTGGCACAATGGTGTTGCTTTTAGAGCTGTTTTACTTTCCTCCCGACTCTCTGCAATTCCCACTGGCAAATGTTTCAGCTACAGCTCTTAGTAGCACCGCACAACATCAGCTACCTAGCAACAGAAATCTAATGACTGGTAGTAATTCTGCAGTGCAACAAAATAGTCTTTATTTCCACACACTCTTCGGGCACACAATCAACTCACCAGAATCTCTCTTTCCTCCTTAAATATTAGATATTAAGATTATATTTCAATGCTGCACACTGCACACCATGTGAAGTAAGCAACCTTTTGTGGCACCATCATATTCCATATTGTCTTCCAAAACTTCACTCTACCCACTTAAGATTATCCAATGTGGTATGATTTACGGCGAACACCCTTGGGCCTGACCCCCTGCACACCATCCTATCTTCTCTCTTTTCTTCTATTTTTAATTTTTAATGCAAGTTGGGAGAACGTTTAGATTTCCTTTCACTAACAATCCTGGATAGCTTATCAAAAAACATATATTTTACATTACCTCATAAAAAAAAAATCCTGGAAGTTTTCCTCTGTTCCCCTCCACAATATTCCACTTATCTTCTGATACTTTTGGTTTTTGGTTTGGCTTTGGGACAGTGTTTTGGTATTATAATTTTGGGGGGAAACATCACTAGATCCCTAAAACAACTTTTGAATTGTTCTTTTAGTAGAATACAGTGTTAAAACCCAATTAAACATCTTATTTACTATACCAAATATATTTTCAAATTAGAAGATTGTTGAAAAATGAAACAATTTTTGGTCAGAAAAGAAGAGACGGATCATGAGTGCAAATCTGAATAGCATAGAAGTGCTTAGAGGTCACTTCACAGTTTACACACTATGGCCAAGATAGAGGCCACTCTTTTGTGGCTCAAGATCACCATTTGGATGGTCTTTTCTCTCTTATTGGTGTTGTTTTCCCATAGGTGGCATTATTTGAAATACTTGCTATAATTCGTCTGAGTACCTACATAAGTGAAAGGCAATCTATATGGAATGGTTGTAAGACCGGCGGTGTTTATATCAAGTGAATATCATCCTCAAAATGAAGGTCACATTCTTTCTCAAAAAAGAAGAAGTGAGGGTCACATGAATGAATATGTTAACATAGATAAGTGGTCATAAGATACTACAAGATTAGAAATAATCATAGATGAGTGGTCATAAGATAAGACAAGATTAGAAATGATCATGCTACAAAAGGTGCAAGTGACACATATAGATGATAAAATGAGAGATGTCTTATGTAAATCTCTAGATGCATCAATCCATAGGTATAAACTGAAAAGGAGACGAGGTAAACCTAAAATTTGTCTCGGAAGAATCACGCAGCCTTAGCAAACAATAACCACAACGGAAAAAAAAGATTCACCTAGGAGATACCAACTAGATGAGATTAAGCTTAGTTTTGCTACTACACTCACATTAATCCAATATTTCCTAGGAAACTTTTTAATCTCATCAGGGATTTATATGTCAATAGAAAAAGTAGAGAAAATCTAAGAGTAAAGAACCTAATATATTGAATATTCGAATGAGAGATCTAAATGGATGAGATGGATAGTGAGGATTCATATAGTCAATCCAACGGGCTTGGGATTTGAGGCGTAGTTGTTGTTGTCGTTGGTGTTGTTTTCCAACTGGAATCTTGATCTCTTGTTTATTTTTGGAAATAATAAAATTGATTATGTTCTTGGAAAGGAACACCATATCTCGTTTGAGAACCTACTAAGAAAGAGATACTGGAGATTTAAACCAAGAATGTACTGATGTAGTTCAACCAGAAGGGAAGAATGTTGATGATTTCAACCCATAACTTCTCTGAAAGAATTTACATACAAAAGAAATTTTGGGGATAAATGGTGTTGAGGTTGAAAAACTTCTTGTATCCCATGATGAACATCAAATATAGGGCTGACTGCATATTAAATGCAACAGCATTAAATTATTTTTTTGTACGTGTTGAAAAGTAACTTGATGCCTTTCATCTAAAATTCACTCCTTCATGCCAACTACTAGGGCAGAACATGCAGCCTCTTTTTGCAGGAAAGCACAAGTATCCCATGAATATGATTTATCTAAAGAAAGAATATTCAAGTACACCGTGAATATGTAAGCTGTGGTACATAAATTATAATTTTGATCATACGAAGATATTCTGTGAAAGAAAAATGGCATCAATAAAGAAAATCTATAACTGGTTAATAGCCACAAATATTTGAAGATGACCCAAAAAAAAAAATCAAAGAAGGAGAAGTTTCCATTACCGCCTCCATTCTTCGAATTTCATAGCGAGCATACTGAGCCACCAAATAAACAGCTGTACAAGAAAGATTGTTTCAGACAGAAGCGCCAGAGGGAAAGTACTTCAAAGATGAAATAACATGTAATAACAAAGATAGTAGAGGTACCAAGTGAAGGCAAGCAAGCAAAGAAGAACTGTACCAGATGAAAATCAAGCCTGCTCATGGAAGAAGAGTAGAAAAGATGTCAATCAACTGAAATAAGGAGGGAAGTATCACCCCAAAGAAGATGAAAAATTTACAATATTCATGATAATGCAACTTAAAGCTTGAAGAGAGGAGGCGTGTCAACTTTGAGGGCATCAAAATATAATTGAAATGTGTAAGAGAACATAAGAGAAATCAAACTTGACATTCAAATCTTTTTGGTGACATTATACCTCAAAACATATGTCATCATCTGCAACCCAGCAATAATGAAAATAAATACTAAATAAATTATTTAATATAGAACTTAGTGAAATACGATGTAGGTTACAACCTGTCAAGGGAATGGATCCCTCAATCTTGGTTCTCTAGGGAAATGGGAATAAGCATGTTGAAATTTGGTCACAAATTCACAGTAGACAAATAGGTTCAAACAGAACGGAAGTATCATATAAGCATTCTTTAGCACATTTATCAAAAACATGCAACAAGGAAAGACACTGCCACAGTGGTTAAGCTTTTTAAAGAAGAAATGTATGTGTAGATGCCCTAATTCTATGTGAAGACTAAATAGAGATAAAATGGATTATATGCCCCTCCAGAAAGACCATCGCAGCATACTCAGTGATAAGTGGCAGTAATATGATGAAAATTCTTTCCTACACGGAAGACAGGTCAATATTTTAAAACTTGAGGGAAATGAATGTACATTTTTCTTTTTACTGATTCACGGTTACTTTTGTCTCTTTTCTTTCTTGATTGAATTCTTTAGTCGCGACCTTCTGACAGTGACATTGTCTCTGTTAATCTTCTTGTTAAATTGCAGAATGTGCAGGGAAGTTGTCTTCATCAAATCAAACAAATTATTGTTAAATTCACCAGTTTCATGATTTCTCCATCCTCAAACCAAACAAATTATTGTCAAAGGAACGAAAAATGGAGTCTTTCTTGACAATATCTTTCATCTGTCAAAGCAGCCTCGTGCCAACGTCTCTGTAAGAGTTAGCCTTCAGAGACATTGGCACACGGCATGTCCAGTTACAACACCATCACAGCGGTCAATTGTCAAGTGATCCACCTTATGTGAGCGTGCCTCAATGTAACAATGCAACTATTTACTTAAATCAATATCAGGAGCGCAACTATTTACTTAAATCAATATCAAGAGCAAAAGTGAACTTGAAGCAAGTCAATTGAAAAAACAGGAATATAACGTGCAAACTGTTTGATAAAATGCCTATGAGAAAACCTTTCTAAAAGTCACTACAGAAACATCGAAATGGGTAAAGTACCCGAATTTCTTCTTCTTCGGCGGTTCCGTAAATAGCATCTTGGCAGCAGTCATGAAGTCAAGGTTCTCCAATTGCTTATAGGCATCTTGGCGACTTAGAGCAACAGAGTTATCAACTTCCTTAGAACTATTACAATTAACCTTGCCGTTGTTGGAGATTGTGATTGACTTGTTGTTATCGGAAATTGTTCTTCTCTGGAGGAGCGCTGATCGCCTAGAAAGACGGACCAAAATTCTTCGACCGCTAAACATCACACTCAACCTTCGCCAACATTTCACCGACGACCAAAAGAGAAGCCAAAAGCAGCCGGCGTAACGGAGGCAGTGAGTAAAGTTCTTTCGAAAATTGAACCGGAAACTAAACCGGACAGCTTCCTGTTATTCGGTTCGCTGAGATCCGATTCCCGGTTCCGCAGGATGACGTCATTCTAAAACCCTCAAAACTTTTTCCCCTTTTTAACAAAAACAAAAAGGAGGAATACGAGCTGAACAGTTGTGATGGAGTGATAGCTTTTTTATCTTTTATCACAGGTCGTGTTCGAGTTTCTTTAGATATGTCGCAATATGGATAAAACCAAAGAAGAAAGGAAAAAAAAGGTTCAATTTGCACTAACCTATCTACGATAAAAATTAGTTAACACATCAATGCTAATTTCATCGAGAGTCGTCTAGGCTTAGGACATGACAATTTCCATATATAAAATTACTTAGTTTACTCTTTCAATTGGTTGATCTTTAATTTTTACTTTTTAAAATAAATTGACCTTTAATATTTTCCTTCAGCAATCGAACTTATGTATAATTATTAATTAGACATATTTTTTAGAAATTAAAGTCGTGTACAAACATAACTTTTAGATATTATAATATGAAAATATAAATATATATTTTCACGAAATAAATAATTAAAAATAAAAATTAAAAACCGACACAAAATATGACAAAAATGCAAATGAATCAATCCACGGGGAAATTGCGTTAACCTATAGATAATTGCACGTATAATCATTACTCCTCTTAATAAAGTAAAATTTTCTCATCGCTTGGTTACCCCATTTTGAGACATCATATCATTATATATCGTCAAATAGTTTAATCCACTAATTTTAAGATAAGCATAATAATTTTTTTAATCTATTTGTTCATTAAAGAACGAATTCATTTTTTTCAACTATTCACTTGACCTCTTCGAAAAAATAGATAAAAATAAATTAAAAGTAGTGATTAAGAAAGGCAGTTGACTAAAATTAGGATAAAAAGGTAAACGAATTTAAGAATTTTTTTACTTTGCTTTCCGCTGTACCTCTTCATTTTAAGATTCTTCTTCTTGAAGATTAATTTCAAGTTTAAAAAAAGTGATTCCAATTTATTTTTAAAGGATCAAAATGTTCGAGAATTTATTCAAGAGATTATTTTAAATCTATCGTCAAATATAAATGGATCATTTTAGTCATTTTCTGGATTCAATAGTATTGTAATTTACTATTGCATATTTTCCATATTAGTAATCTCACTTTTTGTTGATAGTTATATCATTATTACTTTATTATTCCGATGATATAATAATATATAAGTTTTTTAAAACGGTCTCACTCTGGAATTTTAATATAGATAGACACTTAAAAGACTACTTTTTCCAAATTATTTTATAAAATAATTACAAAAGGCACTAAGTTTTACATTTTGTTAATATTAGGGTAACAAGGTTTCTTTAAATCACAATAATTGAAGACAAAGTGTCCATAATCATTCATAACAGTAATGAAAGTCATTATCAAACATGTGGTGCGGTAAATGATATTACTTTTTCCTTAGATTTTGATTTCGAGTAGGATAAAAAAATATCCAATTTGATGACTTATTAAAGAACGAACAAAATAAGAATATGCTATTGAATACGTTCCAGTATATATGTCGGAAAGACCTTCATTGATTGTGTACGAATAAAATACTAATTCAAAGACAAGATAAAAAAAAATCTACGGCAAATTTGATCAGTCTCGTGATGAAGAGAATTTTTTATGTTGAAAGGTATCGTCAAGACAACTCAATTTGTCCGGTAAACTACTCGGGGCTCCCCATGGTTTAGCAAAAGCGAGGGAGATATTTTTTCTTCATCCAGAGGTTCATTCATTATGAACTAAAAAGTGGTTGGTTGATTAATGAGGTCTTAAAAATGTCATAGAATTCATGATCGGCCATTCCATTTTTACTTTCAGCAAGTAGGCAAAACAAATCTATGCTTTCAAGAAGTGCCTCAACGCGCCGCAGCCACTACTTTGGCTCCTTTTATGCAATTATGAACTCCACGAAACTTTATCAATTCCAACGCGAAAGAGCTATTTGATGAGACTTCGTCAGGTGATTGTACAAGAAGGAACTAGATAGATAGAAAAAAAGAACAAATTATAAAAAATGATAAACAAATAAAGAAGTTCATATGTTATACTATTCAATTCTCGACGACGAATTTATTTGATAGTTCAGATATTGCTATTCATGATATTGATCTGATTCAAGACCATCGAGAGGTAATATTCATTCATTGAATTTGTAGGCCAAAGATTTATCATCTCTATGGAATTAAATCTTGAGTTATTGCGAAGTAAAAAATCAATGGGATTATGAAGGTAAATATTCTCGCATTTATTGCTACTGCACTATTTATTCTAGTTTCAACTTTTCTACTTATCATTTATGTAAAAACAGTCTGTCAAAACGATTAATTATTAACTAATTTGAATGAAACTTGACTTTTGAGTTCTTAGCCAAAATTGACGAAATAAAATGAAAAAGTGTGTCCGTTCAGATAAGACGCACCGTAGGCCATCCTTGGCCTTCTTCATTTTCGATGAAAATAAAATCTCGATCTCCGATAGTGTTTTTGTTCCACCGCCACACCTCCCTTTCTTCGTTGAGCCTTTACTTTAATGGTTGAGGAAAACATTCTCTTATCTGAATTTGGTGGGCATTCTTTCCAGCCTTAATAAAATAGGGGTGAGTTTGGCTTGAACATAGGCTCAAACATAATTTGAAAGGTCCTAGTTATGCCATGCGTTCAATACAAAATTTGAAAAGTTGCAGGATGACAAAAAGAGAGTGTTTTCCTGTGTTGACCGAAAAAAAGACCTAGGAAGAATATGTTACTGCTGAAACACGGAATGATTAAAATCTTAGATCAAAACACTATGTATTGATAGTATGAACTGCCTAAACAAGAATTCTTGAACAACTTCACGACTCGCCCATAGAGGAAGAGTATGTGCGCTACGACTTACGTAGTTGATCGGATCAGATAGCCCTTCCTTCGGACAAGCATCGAACCCGGCACATCCAATTCCATTTCGATCAACAACTTTGAGGTATGGTTGAATGACTTAAGGCATTGATTTGCTAAATCGACATACAAGAAAAATAAAAACACAGTGCCAATAAAAGGAACCCAGGGACCATATTCTTCTCCAATTTGAGTTTTACTCACATCTCGAATGAATTCGAAGAAATTCTGACCCCGCTCCCTACTTCGAAACGGACCCATGACACAATGCCCATTCGCTTCGCGCGCAGGAAGGCAACAAATTTCAGTTCATGAGACCGCAGCGGAGTGGAGCAGTCATAACACTTCCTTATTAGATCTCGTTGGTGGCACCTAAACGGCAGGTAGGCGGTGGATGTGTGACGTTTGGAGTTGTCGTTCGTGCACCTGTCCCCAATGGAAGAATGAGTGATTTGTCCCCCTATGGATCATAGCCTTACCACTCGGTCCCCGATTTTAGCTAATGAACAATATTAACTCTTTTGAAAATCAATAACGCGTAAACCATGCCAAATCACGACCAATCAATATTCTTGATAAAAAAACACTTTTTCCAAATTTGCTCTATTAATTATAAACTAAATTAATCGAACTTTAATATAAATATCAAACACTGAACCGAAACACAATAAAATAAGATGAAAGCACCATCCCAATATATTATTATAATGAACACACTCCAGCACTTCCCACTGGATATCATAATGAGAGTACGTTACTTTCTCCCAGAAAAATCGATCTTTTCAAATTTTAAATAACAAAAAAATAAAACTGGATCACCCTACAGCTCATATTCCTAAGTTCCCTACCTTTCTTCTTAAGCTTTTTCCCCAAATTCCCTCTTTTTTCCTCTGTTTTCTACATTTTATGTAGTATAAAAACAACCCACTCTCTGCCAAAATTAAACGGCGCTGCACTATAACGCCGCCGCTATCAACCCCCAAGAGAAAAAACCCATAATTCTACCTGAATTTTGTTATTAAAGATTCATTTTTTTCTGTTTTACAATGTGGGTGTTTAATGTTTTTCTTTAACAATGGTTATAGAGTAAACGGGTGTTGCTAGAAGGAGGAGGTTTTGTTTAAAGATGCTGTGCAGAAAGAATTCAGTTAGTTGTGGGCGTGGATCGGTGCCGGTGTATCTAAACGTATACGATCTTACTTCCATTAATGGTTATGCTTATTGGCTTGGTCTTGGGGTTTACCATTCTGGTGTTCAAGGTGAGTAATCAATTGAATTTTCGTAGATCTAGATGTTTTTTTGGTTGATGAATTAAAATTTTATTTTAGTTCATGGAATAGAGTATGCATTTGGAGCTCATGAGTATTCGACGACGGGGATTTTCGAAGGGGAACCGAAACAGTGCGAGGGATTTACGTTTAGGAAGGCGATTTTGATTGGATGGACTGAGATGAGTCATGGAGAAGTGAAAAGAGTAATGGAAGAGTTTGCTGAAAAGTATAGGGGAAATGCTTATAATCTTATAACTAAGAATTGTAATCATTTCTGCAATGATGCTTGTGTTAAACTTTCCGGCAATCCTATCCCTAGTTGGGTAAATCGACTTGCACGAATCGGTAAGTCTCTCGAATCAATCAATCAATCAATTATACGATTCGTCTATATGAATCATCATTGCTTTATTCTATTCATGTTCAAAGAATTCATAGTTAGCAGTTAGCTATGTTTATGTTGGATATTTGTTACAGAATTGGTTCTTGTTCTCTTTTGCAGCTCAAATAGGTAGGTCTTTTCACACTGAAAAATAACTTAATAGGAAATTGTTACGACCCCATTATCATATTATTTGTTGTAGTTACTGTTCTTTATTTAGTATGTTCTATCGTAAGGGTAACAATCTTCGTCTCTTTTAAGGTAAGGAAGGGTAGAGTCTGTATACACCTGTTAGAAAATTAGTACGACCATGACTTTATAGGACCGGATGTGCCCTGGTAGCTATTCCCAATTGAAAAGATGGTTATGGTTAAAGCATGTGCCTTTAGGAAAAACTTATCCAAGAACTTTCATTGATATGGCTTTGAGTGATTAAAAATATTGTTCTGATTCTTTTCAAATTTGGCAACAATACTTGTATGAGAAGATGTGTTTAACTTCAGAACTAATCACGTCTTAATCCATGCTGTAGGTTTGT